GACCAAGCGTGAAGTGCTGCACCTGGGTTGGGGTTCACGTTGTGGTAGCAACACAGGCTGGAGATGAACAGATCCAGAGCAGCCTTGCTGAGAAGGACTGGGCTTGCTGGTGGGTGAGAGGCTGGACATGACCCAGCAATGTGCACTTGCACCTCAGAAAGGCAATTGTGTCCTGGGCTGCATCAAAAACAGAATGGGCAGTAGAGTGAGGGAGGGGATTCTTCCCTCTCTGCTCTGCTGTTTTGAAACCCCACCCTGAAACCCCACCCCAACCTCCCAGTACCTGAAGGAAACTTTATTTTCTTGTAAGAAAGATGGAGAGATGCTATTTACAAGAGTATGTAGTGACAGGACACAGGAGAATGGCTTTACACTGAAAGAGAGTTGGTTTAAATTACATATTAGGAAGAAATTCTTTACTGTGAAGGTGATAAGACACTGCTCACAGAGGTTGCTCAGAAGAGCTGTGGATAATCCATTCCTGGAAGTGTCTAAGGCCAGGATGGATGAAGCTTTGAGCAACCTGGTTTAGTGGAAGGGGTCCATGCACATGGCAAGGGGGTTGAAATGAGATGATCTTTCAGGACCCTTCCAACCTAATCCATTCTATGATCTGTGATTCTAACGAGGTCAAAGTAGTTCTTCAGCAGATCGGCCACAGGACAAAGACCACGAGGTCTAGAGCATGGCCAGGGGAGAAGATGACACAGCTGAGATTCAGACTCCATGGATTTCCAAGTAGCTGCTGCTACCACAACTGCTTTGAAAGAAGAAAACATTCAGCTCTAGACAGGACAGTGTCCTCTCCATAGCTTGCTTTTTGCATTTTCATTCTTATCACTATGAACCATCTAAACTACACAATAGTTCCTTTCCCCACCTTAATCACATCCCCATGCTACTTCTGTTGACCAGAGTTGATGCATTTACAAGCTGGAAACCTGCTGGCACTGACCAGTCTTGATGACTGACCTCTGTTCTGGTATAAGCTCAGTTTGTTCATACAGGGTTCATATGGCAGTTTTCTCTCTCCCTTCCCCCTTCCTTTCTTCTGATTCTCCGAAAGTCTGCAGTTTTGTATGTCTTTTGCAGTATCTCCCCACGAGTATTTCACTTCTGTTGGCACTTTCCATAACAGTATTAATAATGACATTTTGCTGGCATGGGGCCAGCTGTAAAAGTTTATGGAGTAATTTTGTAATAGAGCTGCAAGAGCTTAGCAAAAACCCAGCAGGTGAACAAGCTTTCCCCCTCACTCTTTTAAAATAAAAGTTCTCCCATTCCACAAGCTTTGCAAAGTCTTTGCACCAGGGTTTCTTGGAGGCAAGATGTGCATATTTTAATGTGACAGGTTTAAGAACCAGTGTTCTCCTGTGGCACTCCCACCTCCAGCTGCAAGGCTGTGCCCCTAGTCCCCGTTCCGAGCCATGCTCATTGCAAACATTGAATATAAAATTGCTGTTTTCCCCTTGCCCTCCACCTTCCAGCTGCATATTCCCACCCTGGTTCCCTGCTTGGAGCAATGATTTAATAAATACATCTACAATAATCATCAGTGCCTCTGCCTGCCCTCCCCCTCCCAGCTGCAGTTTCCCACCCTTATTTCTCTTTTGTGCCATGATTAGTACATATGTTTAAAATAAAACTCATCATCTCCTTCTCCCTTCCTCCTTCCAGCTGTGGATTCCTCCTGCCTCCACCTTACCCAGATTTTCAGATCTGATTTGTAGGTAAATTTCATTAGAAAAATTGAACCTCGCACAGTGCCTCCCCTTCCTGCTGCCTGCCACTTCTCCATTGCAAATGGAACAGTGGGCTTTAATGTGAAAACAGACCATAGCCCTCAGTGGTATTGACATGAAGTCATGAGTGATCTGAAGAGAGCAGAAAGATTCCTCTGCATTTGAATCCATTTCCTGACAGTGTCTCAATCATGAGGGGCAAGATCCTGAAAAATGAGGCTGTAGCCAGGACTGCAATCCTCTGTGTAGGAAGCCAAAGATTTCCTGATACCTTTTGGTTCAGCTGTATGATAAATCACTGTATGATGAAATAGGTGAGGCTGGAAGGCACCAACCCTGTCCTTCAAGCAGAATCAGCTGCAGCAGGTAATGTCCAGTCAGGTTTGAATATCTTCAAGACTGGGGACTCCGTGACCTCTCTGGGAAACCTGAGCCATTGTTCAACAATGCTCATAGTTAAGCAGGTTTTCATAAGTTTAAGCAGACTTTTCTCATCTCATTTTGTGTCTTTTGTCTTTTGTCTGTCAGCTGTAACTACTGAGCAAAGTCAGATGTCACCTTGTTTACATGATCTGTCAGGTGTTTTTGGCGTTTTAACACATGGTTGAGATCCCTCATAGTCTTTTCTTCTGCAGTTTGAACAGTCTCAACTCTCTTAGCTTCTCCTTGTATGTTAAATTTTCCAGCCTCTCAATAATCTTTGTGTTCCTTTGCTGAATGTCTCTTCTATTGGGGAGCCCAGACTGGGGCACAGGATGCAGATGTGTCTCATGAGTGCTGAGAAGAGGGGAAGGATCACCTTTTTTGACCTGTGGGCAACATGCTTCCTAATGCAGCCCACCAGGTTTTCTTTGTCACAAGGGCACATTGCTGGCTCATGTTCAGCCTGTCCCCTTACAGCCACAAAAGCCTTTCCTGCAAAGCTGCTTTCAGAGGATTAGCCTCTAGCATGTGGTTTCTTCTTCCCCAGGTATAGGACTTTGCACTTCCCTGTTTTGAACTTGTTGGCCCATTTCTTCTGCCTTTCAAGGTCCTTTGAGCAGCAACACAACCAGCTGCTGTAGCAACCATTACCCATAGTTTTGTATATTCTGCAAGTTTGCTCAGAGTTCACTCTGCCCCACCACCCAAGCCATTAATGAAGATGCTAAGTGGACTCGGATTCAGCATAATCTCCTTGGGTGCACCTCTAGTGGCTTGCCTCCATCTGTTTTCATGTCACAGATAATAGCCCTTTAGGGTGGCAGTTCAGAGTTTCCAATCACCTCACTGGCCATTTATCTGGCCTCTGCTTGAGGAGTTTATC